GACACGCATGCGGGACAGGATCTGGAAGTGTTTGGCTTCACGGAAGAATCGCGTTTCGCTCTGTGCCGTTTCAGGGGCACGCGCCAATCATTCTAGTCTACGGCGACGGGGCCAGCAAGCCAGAGCCACTGGGATGCGACTCTTCCCTAACACTGCCCGCGAACATCATCGGTCTCGCACCGTCGCAACCAGCCGGATCGAGCGTGCCAGCGAAGGAGGCGAATGAATACTCAGTCGCGGACATCCCCAGGTTCGCAGTTTCGAGGCAGTTTAGAGAACTCACATCGCGCGAGCAGGCGAAGGCCAGATCCTCGACGGGGTGGTACCAGTGATTTTGCACATGTCTGGATGAACTGTGGTCCTGGCTTGTTTCTGTGGCATCAACTCGATCGGTTTCGCAATTTCTAACATGCTTCGCCACTAGCACGTAGGCGCCCTTTGACATTCACATCAGATACCATGGCTAGTGGTCGGGGGCTTCAATGCGCCAGCCGCCGCGACGCCCAAGTCTGCATTCGCTGCACGCGTTGGCGGGCATGTCTTAGCCCCCGACATCCAATACACATGCGACGCGGGCACCGCTGGCAGCATCGACTGCGCCCTCTGCTGCACAGCCGCCATAGCCTACGCTAAGGGCGCCAGACCTGTCTTCACTGTGCCCTGGAAGACCCACATTTGACTGGAGATTCGGCCAAGGCAGGAGGGCGCGCAACTCATCACGCGGACTCTGGGCCCGGCGCAGAAGCTGCCCCGGATGGCGCGCCCAGGGGCGGAGCCGACCGTCGGCTCCAAGTCGACTCAGGCTCGGGCGCAAATGAACGCCGCACGCCAGGAGGCCGCTGAAGAAAGAAAGAAAGAAACAAACTTTGGAGAATGTCTGGGGGGCCTCAACCCGTCGCCCAGGACTTCCAGAGCCCCCTCTTACCGCGACGCGGCCGACGCGGGGGATGGCCTGGAGACCGCCTCGTTCTGAGCTGATCGGGGCCAATAGTTCCCGCGTGCGTGGGCCCTCTGGGGCCCCCTGTGGGTCTGGCAGGGTCTCCGCTGGCTCCGCCGGCACTGGGCTGGCCCCGAATGGAGCCGGCGCGCGGGGAGCCCTCAATTCACCCCAGTCTCCCAGGAATGTATCAAGTGATGTTGAGGCTTCCCGCTGTGTCCCATCCGCGCCCATCGCGCCTCTGTAGGCCGCGCGCGCCACCCCACCCCCCCCCTCCCCCATCGTACGTCGAGAACTCCGCGGTTTACCAGGTCGACCCCGTGGAGTGCCAGCTGATCAGTGGGCCCCATGCGCCCGGCGTCGGGACTCTCGATTCACCATCTTAGAACACCACCAGGATGAGCGCACCAAATGGATCCCTCGAGATGCTATTCCAGAGCTCGTTGCTCATGAGGTTCGGGCATACCAGAACTATCGCGAGGCTCTGCTAATGGACCCGATTGCTACCTGGCGGTCTACGCCGCGCAATGTCCTGGCAGGCCTAGCGAAGCATCGGACCAGACGTAACGGGCTGTCTCAGAAGCGCCAATTGGGGGGGGGGGGGGGGGGGAATGCCCCGGCTGAGTTGAAGGTCGGCCAGAGCAGGTACACAGCATCGCGCGTGAAAGACTTACGATCAAGCGATCGGAAAGGCCCCGCGCCCCCAATGCCGTCCGCGAATTTTCCGCGAGTCGAGTGACCCGGCACGCCGGCTGCTCTGCGCGCCCGGCTAAGCGCAGTCAGAGACGAGCCCGAAGTAGGCCTGCAAGCCCTGGCTGACATCCTCGCAGGTGTAGGTGTTGATGGCGAGCGGGCTGCACGACGCCTGGCCGCCCTCGCGCGAAACGCGAGAAAGTATGGTGGCCTGCACAGACCCTCCCGGTCACTGGCAAGCACCTCCCTTAGAAGGCCTCTGGAAAAAGGATCACCAGACTCATCACGATGCTGGGAGGGTCTAAAGTAAGCTAGGGAACCTTGGGCACAGCTTTGGACCGCCGAATCAATCAGCCCTGGCATGCCGCCGCGAAAAGTACATTCATCCTTGCAGGAGGCTTCCCGACGACTGTTGGATAAGCAGACGGCCGCCATTCTCGAGATTCCGAATGCTCACAGCTCGGTGGATCTCGGGCAGTATGACGACACGATGTTTGGCTCAAACTCGCGCGGGCTGCAGTACGTTCCCGAAAGACAAAATTTTACCTTGAGCTTCTTCGATGTACGTGCCCCGGCCGTCGGTTACGGTTGGATATGGTCCAAGGTTTGACGGAGACAACACGTGGCTTGGGACAGCAGAGTTCACGTATTGCTAGCAAGTCGGTCATCACTTTTAGCCACCCTCCTGATGCGATCGCGATTGTGAAGACTCTCAAGAAGCGTGGGGCTATCCTCACGGCACTCAGTCACTGCAGTTACTTGAGAGTTGATGTAGGAGGCGGTCGTCGTCATGTGAGGGCCCAGCGGATCAAGCGAGTGGTCAAACATGTCGAACAGTCGCCATCGGAAGGTGCGACGCTTTACCTGTAC